CTCACTACATAGGAAATGTCCGGCCGAGTCATGCAAAGATATAACAACTTCCCAAGCAGTCTCTGAAACATTCCCTTATCAGATAAAAATTCACCATTTGTAGCAGAAAGCTTGTGATTGGGATCAATAGGAGTGGAGGCTGGTTTAACACCAAGTTTGCCAGTCTCAGCAAGGAGGTCAAGGACATATTTGCATTGAGAAATGAAGATACTATCTTTAGATCTAGCAACTTCAATGCCCAAAAAATATCGGAGATCTCCTAAATCCTTGATCTCAATGTTAGAGTTAAGAAATCTTTTGAGTTTGCTGACCTCTTGGGTGTCATTACCCGTGACCACAATATCATCAACATAGATTATCAAAAAGGTCACCAGAGAGCCACTTCTTTTCAAGAACAAGGTATGATCCGATTGAATTTGTGTGTAACCAAATGAGACAAGAGCAGCCCTGAACCTCTCAAACCAAGCCCGAGGAGACTGTTTGAGACCGTAAATAGATTTCTACAGTTTACACACCTTCCCCTACATTTCCTTTCCATACACCCCCAAAGGCAAAGACATATAGACCTCTTCATGTAGATCGCCATTCAAGAAGGCATTTTTAACATCAAACTGGTGGAGAGGCCAATCAAAAGTAGCAGCTAGAGATAACAAAACCCGGACTGAGGTCATCTTAGCCACAAGAGCAAATGTCTCAAGATAGTCAATACCATACATTTGAGTGTAGCCTTTAGCAACCGACCTGGCCTTAAACCTCTCAATAGAGCCATCAGAGTGATATTTAATGGCAAATACCCATTTACAACCCACTGATTCCTTCCCTTCAGGCAAGTCAAAAATATCCCAGGTATGGTTCTTATGCAAAGCATTTAGTTCAACCATCATAGCATCCCTCCATTTAGGTTTAGATAAGGCTTCTGGTACAGACCTGAGTATCACATGGGAAGAAACAAAAGCAAGAAAAGAATAGTAGGTAGGAGATTGAAGGCTATAAGATAGGTGTTTGGAGATACAATGGGCTGTACACTTCCTCTTGCCCTTGTGGAGAGCAATAGGAAGATCAAGGTCTGGGAAGGATGTAGCTGGGTCAGAGGAAGACTGACTTGTTACCTTAGTAATGATGGGAGGAGCATGAGGCTCTTTTGTAGGAGTGGAAACAACTTGTCCATGTCTGAATCTGTGCCTTTGGTACCACCTTTGAAGAACAGGATGAGGAGGAATTACAGGAGGATGAGGTGGAGGAGGAGGAACAGGAATATTGGAGGTAGGCCCAGTGGGAGAAGTGAACACCTCATGAGATGGCTCAAAAGGAACAGGAAGAGGAACTACTGGAGACATAGCAAAGGGTTTCTCAAATTTCTTCCCCTCAGGAGGAATACTAAAGAAAGGACTAGACTCAGCAAATGTGACATCACGAGATACAAAACGAGTGCCACTAACTGGATCAAAACAACAATATCCCTTCTGTGTGGGGGCATATCCTAGAAAAACACATTTACGAGCCTTAGGTTCAAATTTGTGCCTTTGATGGTTGTGAACATGCACATAGCAAGTGCACCAAAAAACATGGAGAGGAATAGAGAAAAGATCCTCATCCAGAAAGAGAAGGCTAAAGGGGGTTTTGAAGCCAAGAACCCGGGAAGGCATACAATTAATAAAAAAGGTAGCAGTAAGGACAACATCTCCCCAAAATTTTATAGGAACACGGGATGCAAAAAGGAGGGATTTGACAACTTCAACCACATGTCGGTTCTTCCTTTCTACCACTCCATTCTGTTGTGGAGTGTAGGAATAAGAACTTTGATGAATGACCCCAAAAGTTTCAAGATAGGCTAAGAGGGTTTTCTCAAAATACTCCTTAGCATTATCAGAACGGAATATTTTGATCCGGGTGTTAAATTGGGTAAGAATGAGTTCATGAAATTTGTGCATAATAGTTGGTACTTCATCCATGGATTTCATGAGATAAATCCAAGTGTAACGAGAGTAATCATCAATAAAAAGGATAAAGTACCTGTAACCCTCCCATAGTAGGCAAATGATATGGCCCCCACACATCAGAGTGAATAATATGAAAAGGAGGAGTAGATCTTTTTTTGTTTACTGAATAAGATTGTCGACAATGCATTGCCAGTTCACACGACTCACAATGAAGACTTGATAAAGACACTCCCTTAAACATATATGGAAATAAATGACTCAAAGCAGAAAAAGACAAATGACCAAACCAAAAGTGACATAACATGATTTTGTCAACAGACTCTAACAAGACCGACTCCAAGGCAACTCCATGAGGTGGTCCAAAAGCACTATCAGGTGTGTCCAACAAGTATATTCCGTTCGCCTCATGGCCACTCCCAATCATCCTCTGAGACTATAGGTCATGAAAAACACAATGAGTGGGAAAGAAGGTTATGCTACAGTTCATGGATTTAGTCAAGCTACTAACAAATAAAAGATTTGTATTAAGTTTAGGGATATGAAGGACAGAGGATAAATAAACGGTGTTAGAGGTTTTTATATCCCCTTTGACAGAAATGGAGCAAGGGACCCATCAGCAAGGGATATTTTCTCTTTACCAAAGAGAAGGTGGTATGAATAGAAAATGTTAGACAAGCTGGTCATATGGTCTGATGCACCAGAATCAATGATCCAAAGGATTTTATGATTACCTGAAACTGAAGCATGGTTTGTAGAAGCATGAATACTTGAGTGAGCAAATGCTGATGATGATGCCGTTTTACTTGAAGAGTAAGATGTAGAAACAGTAGCCTCCAAGTGACTTAACAGCCTACCACACTTTTCAAAATCTGCCTTCATTGCTGTCAACTGTTCAATGGTGGACTTTTCTTCACTCTCCTTACTTCCTCCTTCTGGTACTGTGGCAACATTAGCTGTCTTCGACTTTCCTATCTAATTGCCCTTCTTAAAATTGTTGTTATTCTTAAACTGGTCAGGAAGAAGATCAGGATGAAGCTTTCAGCAAGTGTCCTTCGTATGCCTCGGTTTCTTGCAATATTCACACACTTCCTTCTTCTCAGTTGGACCCTTCGGCTTTATTCCCGCATGTGTAAAGTGTTCCGTAGGTGGACTCTGTAACTGAACCTGCCACCTACTCTCCTCACTGCTCACCATAGCATATGCTTGGGCAAAAGTAACATCATCTTTGGCTAGAATATTCTGCCTAATGATGTCAAACTCAGGGTTGAGTCCAGTAAGAAATTCAAACACCCTGTTTCTTTCCACCAACTTCCTAAACATTTCTGAATCATTCTTAGAGTCCCATGCAACTGTCTCCATAACGTCAATTTCCTGCCATAAGGATTTCAGTATAGAATAGTAGATTGCCACACTCTTCTCCCCTTGCCTTAGGTTCTTCACATCACTTTTCAGCTTGTAGACTCTAGCCACATTCAACTTTTGTGAATAAGTTTTAGTAACACTTATATGAGGCTGCATAGAGTTGACTAACCATCCTATGACAATATAGTTCTCCTGCATCCATTTCTCATATTCAAGGTCTGTCTCTTCGGGTTTCACTTTACTGCCTGTGAGGTACCCTAATTTTCCTCTACTACAGACATAAATCCTTATAGACTGTGCCCAAGCAAGATAATTTGTCCCATCTAGCTTGATTGTGGTCACACCAGTCAAAACGGAATCTATCGAGCCAAGCCTGGAAATCGGCACCTGCTTGAACTCGCTTTCGTATTGCTCTATTAATCAAACGAAAATAAAAAAACTAGAAATTTGGTCCTTATAAACTTACTTGAAGTCAAACCAGTATCCAGATGCTTGAAAACTAGGGTTTCACTGCGTCCGGCTGTTGGGGAGGAAGAGAGAAGATGTAGCCGCTCTTACCAGAGCTTTCCAATCTCTTCCAAACCTGAACTGCCCTCTTTTAGAAGTCAAAAGACACCTCCCAAGCATAGAGTGCCACACCCAAAGCTTCACTTTTACTTGTAACTTCGAAAATCTCTAATCGGCTAGGGTTTTGGGCAGAAACAGTACAACACCACTTCTTGGCAATATCTGACCACATTTACACTCTCCAAACCCTCTACCAAGTAGGCCAAAGATCCTCTGAACTATAGAGAACCTATCTCTCCATACGCTCTCTTAATCGAAGGGTGTATGGGAAAAGAGAAAGAAGAAAAGAAGGAAGAAAGAAACCTGCTCTGATACCAAGATGTAAATCAGTCCTCTAAATCTGATGTAAACTTGGGAAAAATTAGAGAAAAAAAGGAAGAAAAGAAGAGAACAGCAGTACAAGAGAAGGAAGGTGGAGAAAAGAGGAGGAGGAAGAAGAAGAGTTCAAATATCTCTTCCCTCCCTTCTCTAATCCTTTTACTAAGCTTCAATCTTAACATAATTACAAGTATACCCTTAAGTGGGTGGCCAGCTAGGCAGTAACATAAAGAGAACTAGCAAAAGAAATAACAGGCCCATTAGCTAACAAATAAATAAAACATACTACAAGAAAAGATACTAGGGCCCATTCAGCCCAGTCTCTTTACAAGAATGATTTGTAGAATGGTGCTGATATCCTAATATGGTTACGACCTAACCTCCTATCTTTTTGGAGCTTGTATTTCTTTTCTTTTCCTTTTCCTTTTCTTCCCTCCTTTAACTTCATTTCTAAACAACTGTTTTCTCACTGATCAGAATTGCAGCAATTTCATTTCCTCCCATTAGGAAAATGTAGAATTGCATGAACTGTGGATTTCTTTGTGCTCTCATATTTTCTTTTTGCATGCATACATTGTCAGATTTTTAATGCGTTCAGGATGCATGTTTTTGCAGCCCTAAATTGGGTCTTATGAAACTAATTGCAATTACTTCGATTAACTTGTGAGTCACAGGTTATAAAACTTCATCTGCATATGTATTTCCTGACATTCAGCTTGTTTATCAATATTTTATGACTTTATTTATTTATTTAATTTTTGTGATTCATTCTTGTTTCTGGATATAATGATTCCTGCATCTGCATTCTTGAAGGCTATTGCTGGAGAAGCTGGGGTACCTTTTTTCTACAGAGCAGGGTCTGAGTTTGAGGAAATGTAAGTACCTATTGTCTATGTCTCATACTATTCTTTGTAATTATCCATGGTTTCAGCCATTTATTGGAAAAAGAAGATACTTTCATGCCATAAAAAAGTTCCACACTTGTATTTTGGAAAACAAAAATAGAAATTCATATATTTAATATTTTTATACATATGGTAAGCACCGCAAGTAATGGTTATTTTTGCCCTAATAAAGAAGTTTCTAAAGGAGTATGCATTTAGAAGACCTTTTAGATGTGTGGGACTTGAGATCTATTAAGATATTGTATTAGTTTTGACCTTTGTAGGGTAATGGTTGCTCTGTAATCAATATTTTCTTTTGTTAGAGGTTGAACAGTGGTGATATAAATTTTCACTATATTTGGTTAGATGCACTAGAATTTGCTGATTCATACTGTTGGAAATTCAAATAATATATTACGTTAAAATGATGAAGCCCAAAAGAAAAAAATAATGTCATACAATGAGCTTGGATGGAATAAGGAATTAATGATATTGAGATGGAGGATTGGAAACCAGGAGACAAACTCAAGAACTTGTACGCCCAAGAAAAGTGACTCCATTAGTTGATTAATGGGGTTTTGTTATTCTGCCAACCACTCCCACTTCCCAAAAACAGCTATTTGTGGATGCTCTGGTGCAAATTGAAGGCTTTAAAACAACGAGAAGGCCTAAAAAGATATGAGCTTGTGAATTTGGTCAAGAGCATCTTGGCCAGCCTGACCAGCCCAGTGTTTTAAAAGGCGTGGGAGGTGTACGCCTGGAGGCGCAGCACCTCCAAAATGCCCTGAGGCATAGGCCAGAGGAATTGACACCTCTGAGGTGTACACCTTAGGTGCAAGAGGCATACACCTCATGTGCCTCATGCACACCTCATATAAAAAGACAAAAAAAAAAAAAGAAAAAAAATGAAAGGAAAGGAAAAGAAAGGGAAGGAAAAGAAAAAGAATGAAAGGGGAGAAAAAAAGAGGAAGAGAAAGAAAAGAAAAGGAAAAGGGAAGGGAAGAATATAAAAGATTTTTATTAGAAACAAAGAAAAATGAGATCCTCCTTCCTCTTCTTCCTCCTCCCTCCTCCTCCTTCCTCCTCATCCCCCTCCTCTTGAGGAGGCTTACGCCTCTTACGTTCTTTACTACACCTAACACCTCTAGGTAGTGGAATGCCTCGCATCACACCTCCGTGTTTTAAAACATTGGACCAGCCTACTACTTGTCAATCTTCCCCATTCTTATGAAGGTAGCCGGAAGGATTGGGAAGAACTAAAGAGATTTCCTTTGGTGGGGATGACATGAGGAGAATAAAATTCATGAGGTCAAGTGGGACCAAGACACCATATCTGTACTCCTATAGAAGATGTGGGCTTGGTATTAAAAGAATCAAGCATTTCAATGTAGCCTTGCTTGGTAAGTGGATCTGGAGATTTGGGATGGATAAAGAAGATTTGTGGAGGAAACTCATTGCCTCCAAGTATGTCTAGCAGTGAATAGACCTTGGGTGACCCATTACTTCAAATGGCAGCTCAATTTGGAAGGGAATATTGAAAATTGACAGCCATTTTTATTATAAAAAAATTGACAGCCATTTTCAGAAGGTATTGCATACAAGCTGGGCGATGGTGCTAGGTTGAAATTTTGGAAAGATAGGTAGTGCACAGAGAGATCTCTAGAGGAGTTATTTCCTCATCTGTTTGGTTAACTCTTAACAAAGATGCTCTGTGAAGGAATCTTATGAAAATTTAAGGGGGGAGATAGTTTGGTTACCTAATCTGAGGCTTCATAATTGGGAGATAGACAGTATGCTGATTTGTTTCAGATTTTGCAGAACCAGTTGGTTAGAGTGGGCCAGTAAGACTAGTGGGTCTGGAAATGGGAGGGTGAGAGTGTGTTCAGTGTTGAATCTTTTGTAAGACATCTGAGAGGCCCTTGGAGTACTTACTTCCCTAGTAATAGACCCATTCAAAGGCTAGGCTTGGGCTTGGCTTTTGCCAAAATTTGAATGGGCCTGGCCCTGAGTCCGAGCCCAACAGTGTTAAGTCAAGCCTGAAGCCTAGCCCCTGAACAGGTCTACCTAGTAATTTAGTTTGGGATTAATCTATTGTACCTACAAGAACTAGTTTCCTGTTGTGGATGGATTCTTTGCGGAGATGTCTAACCAAGGATATCCTGAGGTGGTGTGGGAATTGGTGCCTACAGTAGTTGTTTGAACTTTGTGGACAGAAAGAAATAGCCAAATAGGAGAATATTTAATAACAAATGTAGGGCTGAAGATGACTGCTTCTCAATGTTTCTATTAGTAGACTGGGTTGTTAAGCTTCTGTTTCTAAGGAGTTCTCCAGTCAGTCCTTAGTTCAGCTTCTCCATTCTGTTAACTTCTGGAGTCTGAGTGTGTTGCTGTCAAGGTGCTGCCTATGTTTGCGTGGACCTTATGCCTGTGTTGTACTAATGATCTTTTCTGCATTTGAATAAAATTTACTTTACTTTTTTTTTTCAAAAAAAGGGGCTGTGACAGAGGAATTTATTCATGCTTTAACAGAATATGACACTAGAATCTAGATGAGGCATAGTACAATGCTCTAGTACAGTTGAACCATAATACCCTCAGAGATCCAAATATCAAATCTCTTGATATTTCCTGATATTGCAATTTTTTTATATATCAATGAATTTTTCATGTGTGGTTTGAATGTTTCCATGTAGATTGTTTCCAATTGAGTTTGGCAATACCGGTGACACTTCTCCAATATTTTTGGCAAAATTTGGAATACATGCACATAAGAAATTGAAATTTTCATTGATATATAAAACTTTTTGAAATATCATCTAAATATCAAGAGATATTTGGATAATTTTGATTCTAGGATTCACAGAGTGGAATAGAGGAACAATTCATATAACCAAACCCGATATAGCTGGGACAAGACTTAGTTTTGTTGAGGATGTTTTTGTTTGCCTTGGAAAAATAGGGATATTTTATGTACTATGTTTTTATAGAAATTGCGACCATGGTTGACACCATATTATTTATATCCTGTTTCATGATGGCTTGTTTGGGAATGACAAGTGCTTTATGTGTTTTACTGGTATAAATGGGGATTGTCATTATTTTTGTTATTAAAATGAAAATTCATTAAAAATTTATAACAGAAAAAACAAAAGATAGATATAGTCTCAGGTGATAAGGCATCACTGTGGTCCACAAGTAAACATCCCCCACTCCACCTCCCTACCAAGATACCAACACCACATAACAAAGACGATAAAAAAGGCTTCTCTACCATCTGCCTTATGCCCCATAAAACAAGCACCCACTCCAAATCTAAGAAGCAAAAATTAGGGGTGCAAGTCAGGTTGGCCCGAGTTAACAGTTTACACTGTTTTGGGCTCGGGTTTCGGGTTGGGCCCATTGAAATTTTGACAAAATCTCAACCCTAACCCGGAAAAGTTGCTAAAACATATCAGTCATTTAAACCCCTGTGGCCCAATCCACTATTTAACACTACTTGTTGGATTCTGCAGATACAAATTTAAGGCTTCTTATTTTTCCTCTTTGTAAACCTTGTTAAACTTCTTACAGACATGGTTTAAAATGTCTATACAAATTGAAGGATGTTCTTTCCTCTGAGATGCTTGGCATTCATTCTTGTAACAATTTGCATTGATGACATGAATATGATTTTTTTTTTTGTAGAGATTTTGAGATGCCAAGGGGCGGTTGAAATGACTGAACTTAATTACTTATTGCTTTATCTTTTAGTTGATAAAGTAATCAATAAAATATTTAGGGGCATGGTAATCAATCCAACTCTCAGTTCGGTCATTATGTATTAAAGAGCTCACAACCCACTTAATGATTTATTCACTAAAAAGACAAAGCAATGGATTATTCAGTTCAGCCACTTCAGCCTTTATCAAATGTCTAGTTCTATTTCCTGACAGTCTGCTTAGTTTCTCTTTCCTTTAGCTGAGATTTTGGCTTTGGTTACTTTAAGGGTCCGTTTGGTTCGCAGTCGGAACCGGAATCCTCCGAATCGGAATCGGAATGGTCCATTCCCATAGTATGTTTGGTTCAGACAGAAATGGGAATCGAAATTGGAATCAGTAGGAATAGGATTTCATTCCCAAGGGAGGGGCAGGGAATGGCCATTCCCTCAAATGGGAGGAATGCCATTCCAGCAGGAATGGGAATGGGGTTCTGATTCCACCCAACCAAACAGTTGGAATCGGAATAGCCCATTCTGATTCCGATTCCGTACCCCTATTCCCGTGAATCAAACGGGGCCTAATATATATTAGCAATCTGTGGTCCTGGAGTTTTTCATCCATGTTATGTATGTTTTCATAGGTAGCTTTCTGCTTTCTCAAAACAACATAGAGTCAGGAATTACATTATGGTGCTTTTTAAGTTTATTATTTTATTGTTCTGCTTCTGTATGCCAGGTTTGTTGGTGTTGGTGCTCGACGTGTGCGTTCCTTATTCCAAGCTGCTAAGAAAAAGGTGGTGGAGATTTTCTGATTTCTGAAAATAGAAATATTTGAATATGTGTGTGTATTACAATACCATGCGAGAATCATATGCTGCAGAAATTATTTTTCTTTTTTGATAGTCAAAAATTATGGTGATACTTTGCAATATCTTCTGTACACTATTGATAGTACACTATAATTTTGCTTTTATCTCCCCCTCAGTAAAACCTCATATTGATTAATTGAGTAATAACTTTTCAATCTTCAGTTGCATTTATATTTTGGGATTTTATCTCCCCCTTCTTGATTTAATGCTGACCTGAAACTGTAAGAGATGTATACATTGCTTGATTAGATGAAATGGAAATTGTAAATTGAGGCTAAATTTCAAATGTATCCCTGGTTTTGGTAGTGATAGACTGGATAAAGACCACTCACCAAGTAATGGCCCCATGTTACTTGTTAGTTAAATTATTAAAAATTTTCCATTAAATTTCTAGTTCAATAGTAAAATACTGGGCTGACAAGCGTGAGAGTAGTGTTCCAGTATCAAGTTCCCACTTTGTGACTAGAAAAGAAAAGCTAATGTTTAGGTCTGTATCCAGTCCATCCCGAGACCCCTGATAGTTGGGACCGGCACTGGGTAATGGCCTTTTATTCTTTTCATTTTTCTGAGAGCTTTGTTTCTCATGAAGCCACTAGTGCTCATTAAGGACCCCACAAGAGTTGAATGATATGAGAAAGTTGTGGAAATAAAAAATAGGATGGAGAATTAATTTATATGTGCTTGACATTACTGTGGTCTTGTGTACTTAAAAGGCTTGCTAAACTATTTATATTGTGAATTGGAATCACATTATACATGGAAGCAGTCTTACTGATCTTTTTACTGGAACCTGTTTCAAGTATCTTTTGTTGTGGTTTGAGGGTGACTCTGCACTTAACCTTTGAGTTGTGGTTTAGAGCAGAGTTTCCAACCTTTGGAAATAAAATGATCCCAATGATTAAGGTCTGATAGCTGGTAACCTATACCAGCACCATGATTTTTGAAGGGACCTGATTTGGCGATATCCCATTTTTTATAGACTGGGCACATCCCTAATGGACAAAAGATACTCTTGTTTATCATAATAAGGATTAATATTAAGGGTACATTAGGTGTGCAACTTAAGCAGGCTCGAGTTGGGGTTTTGTCAAAATTTGAATGGGCCTGGCATGGAAACCCGTGATGCAGTGTAAAATCTTAAAATCAAGTATCCAGCTTGCACTCCTAGGGCACATACACAATTATAGGTGTTATTAAAAAAGTTTAAATCTAAAAATAAAAAATATATAGTAATTTGTAACCCATGATCTGTCGTCTGAGTCAATCAGATCAACTATTCAATCACCTCGATTTCTGGGTCTCTAACCAAGTCAATGGGTTTTTGAATAAAGGTAGGTTAGATTGATGAATAAAAAAAATAAAGGAAGGTTAGGAGTTAAAAAACCAGTGCTGCGTGACAGGTTAAACAGTCCAACTGGCTGGGTCAGTGATAGGGTGAAGACATTGATAATGAAGGGTTATTTCAGGAAGAGAATATATAGTCAGGGACCTAATCGTAGTATCAGTACCACTGGGGTCTTTATCATAATTTTGCATGATTTTAACGGTGTATAAATAAAAAGTATCTCTCATTACAGGGATACAAATTGGTGTGAAACATTGTTAGACCCACAATCTCTACTCTTTGCACTTCTTAATATTCACAACAAAATATGTTTACCTCCTTTTTTAAGTGATCCTCTCCTCTTTCCTCATGGATGATTTACCACCAAGTGGAACAAATTAAATGCCTACAAGTGATCAGTAATTAACCTACTTTTCTTCGCACTCAGTGTTAGAATTTGGTTACATCTTAATTCCTATTATTCTATTCTTTAATATAAGCTATTTACTTTCATATGTTGATCTAATGACTCATCATCATCCATGTCCCAACTATATGGGGTTGGCTACATGAATCCTGTTTCACCAATCCGTTCTATTTGAAGCCATATCCATTGTTAAATAATTAGTGTTTAAATCATTTCTTACTACTTATACCCATTCCTTTTTGGCCTACCCGAGATCTTTTATCCCCTTTCAATGTGTAACAAATCACTTCTTCTAACTGGCAGAGTTGGTGGTCTTCTATGCACGTGCCCAGACCATCTTAGTCTACTCTATCTCATTTTATCACCTATTGGAGCTACTCCTATTATGTTGATCTCTTGACTATTATGTTGAAATGTTGAACAAATATAGTTATTTCACTCTCTTATTTTGTTTCTGAGTGTAATGCCCTTTAATCATTTATTTATTTAGTTATTTTATTTTGTTTCATCCAAGTGATAGCACAATTTTCTGGTATTTGTTACTAATTTGATGTGTTCATTCAATTATTGTTCGTAGGCACCCTGCATCATTTTCATTGATGAAATTGATGCTGTTGGTTCCACCAGAAAGCAGTGGGAAGGACATACAAAGAAAACATTACATCAACTGCTTGTTGAGATGGATGGTTTTGAGCAGAATGAGGTATATTTGAAGTTTGTTGCATTGTTTCAGTATTTTACTTTTTTTTTTGTATTTTCTGAAATGGATTTTATTTTGGTAGGGCATAATATTGATGGCTGCAACAAACTTGCCAGATATTCTTGATCCGGCTTTGACGAGGCCTGGTAGATTCGACAGGCATGTAAGTTCTTTAGTGAATTATTTATTTTTTTGGTAGTTTTTAATATATATAAGCAATTTCTTTAATTATATGATCTCTTGAAAATTATTGTGGTATGTGAAATGGAATATTCAGGACTTGATGTTTGAATTGTCTTTTAATCTAAAGATTTTGATAGTCCCAGCTTTAGAGATGAATATCGCTTGAGAGCGTTTTGCTGGAGCCTTTGTTGAATTTCCAACTTCTAAATGACAAACCTCTCCTTCTTAAATATTTTGTTCTAGTTATCCCTCGTGATCCCAAAAAAGATGTTCTTTTTTGTGTTTTTTTTTTCATTAATGACAATATAATTTATTGATTTAATAAGTAAAATGTACAAATATGCGTTGTGCCTAGCATTCCTAGAAGCAGCTAGCCCTTGCTAGCCCCCAACCCCCCACTATTTATACTCTCTTCAAACCCTTAATCTGAGGGATTACACCAAAATAGTTAATTTCTTGTTGCTCCTTGCTTTGCTTGGCTATCAACTTATGAGTTGCTCCCTATTTAGAGTTCCCTTCTACAATTAAATATGTAATATTTAATGAAATAGCAAGTCTTAGTCCTTGTCTAACTGCAAAAATCTTTGCTCTAGTTGAAACCCCATGCTAACAAATAAGCTCTACCTCTCAGTTTGAATGTGGTCATCTAAATGGTCATTAGATTGGTGGGAAAGTAAACTTCAATCACATACTGTAATTGGAATTAACCAGGTTGTTTTTGCTTATTGTGTTCATCCCAGTTCTTTTTATTGAGGCTGCATCTTTGAAAACCATCATCATTATCTTGGCCTTTGTCCCACTATATGGGGTTGGCTACATGAATCCTGTTTTGCCATTCTTTCCTGTTTAGTGCCATATCCATTGTTAAATTACGAGTGCTTAAATCATTTCTTACTACTCCCCTTCAACTTAGAACAGATTGCTTCTTGTGCGTGCTGTAGATGGTCTTCTGATTGAAAAATCTAGTTATTGGAAGTACTTTTTTGATAGTAAAGTAGAAAAAGTTATTTAAAAAGAAAGATTGCAATTGACAGAAACAGTAAATGAGCAATAAACTTGACTAACAAGAATATTGAAATAAGTCTAACATTGCCAAGTGAGGAATGAAAATTTCACAAAAACCTCTTCCAGATTGTTGTTCCTAGTCCTGATGTGCGGGGACGCCAAGAAATATTGGAACTCTATTTGCAAGACAAACCGTTGGCTGATGATGTAGATGTCAAAGCTCTTGCCCGTGGTACACCTGGCTTCAATGGTGCAGGTTTTTTTCTCTCCTGACCTAATACAATATGTATTTTGCTGTGTTTCATAGGCCAATATTTGCAGAAAATCCTAACTCCCTAGGTATATGTTTTTGAGACATACAATATGGTAGAATCCATCGTATTTATCTATCTTCTTCTTTCTTCTTTTTTGGCTTTGTTTGCTTCCTATTCAAATAGATCTGGTTACCTGGTAAATGTTATGGCCATTTAGGCTGCTTTAGGTGGCAGAAAATCACTTGAAGAGCATATTTGTGAAGAATGTGTTGAGATATATATGTTAGAAACCCAGTGCATTTACTTTGTTCTTTCCCTTTTCATTACAATAGATTTGGCGAACCTGGTGAATATTGCAGCCATTAAAGCTGCTGTTGAAGGTGCTGAGAAGTTGACTGCTGCACAGCTGGAGTTTGCAAAGGACAGAATAATTATGGGTACTGAGCGGAAGACAATGTTCATATCAGAAGAATCAAAGAAGGTAGGTGTGCTTTCTTTGAGAAAGTACAGGTGGTTGATAGTAAATGCAATTATAGGATCATAGGAGGCTCTCACTTCTTATAGAAGTTAATCAAGTGTAACAATTCAGATATAGTACAAATACTGCATCTTCTTTCATTGGTTCTATCTAAAATCTCACTTTGGACAGCTACCTTCTCTCTCTCTCGCTCACTCTCTCTCTCTTCCTCTCCTTATCAGTACTTTGGACAACCCACGGGATGGATTCTTGCTATGATGGTAATATTTAATGCTATATTGGGCCATGTGTACAAAGATGGAAGACCTACTAACTTAAACGTGTAATGGAGGACCAACAGAAATATAAACTGGGGGAACATTAATTATCTTTCAGATTGCAGCAGATGTATTTAGGAACTCGTTTGGTTCCCGGCAGCAGGTGTGAGCTCTGATATTTGATAGATGGTGGTGTCCTACAAGCTAACATATTTCCAAGGGAAAGCTCAACTCAACTCAACTTCCAAATTTGTATTTTCTGTGGAAACTTTTTTCTTGTGGTCCCATTTAATCTGGTATTGCAAAGACAGAATTAACAGTAAGCCACTAGTTAGAAACTAAGGATAGTCTCTCCATTGGTATGTTTAAACAATTGTATACATATAATTCCCATCAATCTGGTACATAGCTGGGACTAGTCTGTCAAAAGGTTTGGTGTAGATAGGGTTGCCAAATCAGCCAATTTATGTTCCTTTAGTATATCCTAGATGAGGAACCCATGAACTCTTGAATGGTGGTAATTGCTCCTACATGTGCACCATATACAATTATGCTATTTTTACCTGTCTGTAAAATTCATAAGAACTGTTATACTGAAATAATTATTCATTTTTTTCAGCTCACTGCATATCATGAGAGTGGCCATGCAATTGTTGCATTCAATACTGATGGCGCACACCCAATTCACAAGGCAACAATAATTCCACGGGGGTCTGCCCTTGGTATGGTTACTCAGCTCCCTTCAAATGATGAGACATCAATTAGCAAGAAGCAGTTATTAGCACGTCTAGATGTCTGTATGGGGGGAAGAGTTGCCGAAGAACTCATCTTTGGTGAGGAACATGTCACAACTGGAGCAAGTAATGATCTACACACAGCAACAGAGCTTGCACAATATATGGTATTTCTCAAAGCTCTTTTGCAATTACCTCTTCATTTTAAATGATTTATCATTCTTATAATTGTTTTACAAGGATGAAAGCTCTGTGCCATTTTGCTATAAATTCTTGTTTTCTTTCACTTGTTAAACTTGTCCTGAGTATACAATGAAATTTTGATGGTTATAAGTTACAACTTAAGAAGAAATTAATGATTAATATTTTACCTTATATTGCAATAAGGCATGGATGATGGATGGATCGATTTTACCTTAAATTGGTGAAGGCTTTGCTGAGTTGAGTATCTTTTCTATGCAAGGTAACTACTTGTGGGATGAGTAATACTATTGGACCAATTTATATCAAAGAGCGACCAAGTTCAGACATGCAATCACGCATTGATGCAGAGGTGTGTTCTGTTCCGAAAGTCACAATTATATTGTAATCCTTAGATTATAGTTGTTTTACCCCATTTTTAATTCATATCTACCATGTACGTACTCATAAACAATGGTTGTCAAGGTGTTGCCTAAGTGAAAAGATGCCTTCAGTGGGGTGCTTAGCTTGAATGCCATAAGGCCCATAACCGTTCTAGGAAACAAGGCACACTCCTATTGATAAAAAAAAAAGGCACACTTCTAGGTGACAAGGAGTGCACCTTATAGTAGTATTAGTAAAATGCCTGCATCTTATTAGAATGTGCATTAAATACATTGTACTATTTGTTATGTATATCACTCATGCCTTATTTTAGGGTTATTTAAGGGTTTTGAAAAGACAAAGAAAGAAGGATAAAAGATTTTTTTTCTCTGCCTCTTGTTCATTTTTCTTTTAGTTATATTCTTTCTCTTAAATTTTATTAATATAAAATTATAGCAATCTTTAGTCTAATATTTTTTTGGACATGTAGTTGCAGGCTTATTATGTTAAAGTGCTGTGTTTGAATAATAAAATTAATAGATTGAAATTGCTTATTGCCTTTCATTTATGATGGTTTGCCATGTTTTGAGAGGAAAGTTGATGTTTTTAAAGAGCATTGCTATTTATCAATCTATATGCATGCTATTGCTAGACCAAAAGAATTGCATGCAATTGGTATTTAAAGCTAGGAAACTGATCTAGAATTTAGTTTTTCTTTGTAAAATTGTAGGCACATAGGCGACTAGGTGTTCCACTATGATGGCTCTTTAACCTATAAATGACGTACAGCAAAACCCAATAAGGTTTCTAAATAAGTCCTAAGTAACCTTAGTAAATCTTACTTGAGTAAGAGTTTTAAAATTAAAGTCCCTTCATAAAAATTAGATAAAGGAATGACAAAGTAGAAAATTAGGTCTCGATCAAATTGATTTGAATTGCATGGATTATATAAATCGTAAGTCTTAAATCAAATCAGAATATTAACTGTTATTGTAAGATTTTTCAGAAAATGATTCAGGTATAATATTTGAATTGTAGATCATATCCTAAATTGTAAAATTCTGACAACTATGTTTAGGCCCAATGCTATGAATCAGGATCTATTTTTCTAATGTTACACATTATGCAATCATAATAAATGTAATTTGAACACTGCAGGTGGTGAAAATCCTAAGAGAGGCATATGATCGTGTTAAAGCTCTACTAAAGAAGGTAAGTTTGTAAGATTATTTTTCTCCATAATTTTTACAAGGAAAACATAAGGTCTCCACCTGCTAGGCTTAGAAGCATGGTTGACTAAAGCAGAACATGATTTAAAGTTTTAAACTGGGAGGTACCTATCTCAGTTATTCCTTTTCCTGAGGTTGGGACTTGGGACACTAACATTGTAGAGGAACTGGACCCCAGGTATTTCATATATGCATGTGGCAGTGATGGTGACTCATTTCTGTCTTGGGTTTCATCTATCTGGGTCAAAAAACACATATCACCCAATACTCAGTACATGGATCGAGTACATTGTTCCTGGTTTAGCCTTTTCTACTGTGTTAGCTATGAATTCTGGTATGGCATAGGCTTTTGTGTGCTTCCTAGAAGTAGTGAACCAGCCATCTAGTAATGTTACTTAGCTCAGTTTGGGTTCTCCTGTGTGACCTAGGAAATTGACATTCTTTTTCCTAGTTTTGGATATTTGGTATAAATTGTGACAAAAAGCCTAGTTTGTCTTTTTTTTATTATTATTTTTTGACAAGGGTCCTGCACTTTGCAGCATGAGAAGGCATTACATGCATTGGCAAATGCTCTTCTTGAATATGAGACGCTCAGTGCAGAAGACGTCAAGCAGATACTTCTACCTTGCCGGGAAGGGCGATTTTCTGAACAGCAACAACAGGAAGAGGAATTTGCATTGGCTTAAAATCCTTACCTCCACGTATAATCTTCTCTAACTGTGAGGTGAGCAATGTACAGTGTATTGAAATCATTACATGTAATTTATATAATTCATTTTCCACCAAGTCTTATCTATTTTATGAATTTTATGATATACTAATCATTAAGTACCGTAGCATCCCCACCCCCCCCAAAAAAAAAAAATTTCAAATCTGCTATTAATTTAAGAGGAGGATTTTTAGCTAATCGTCAATAAGAAAGAATTCACATCTACGCCCCTACAGCATATATCCCCACCTTGTAACATCTCCTATTCAACTTCGGGAGATGTGCATTGTCGGGCGTGTATTTGAACATCTCTCGAAATTGCCAGTAGATGTTCCCAATACACGATTGGAACATGCTGTGGGTGCAGATGTGAATTCATTTGGATACTGTTTTAGAACTGTCGATTATATTCTCATACTTTTTGTAGAGTTTCGCGTTCTGCCGCGTGAACCTACCAATAAGGAGCTATCACGTAGCATTTGAAAATTTGATTTTTGTTAATGGATTTTCTACCGTTAGTAACTGGAATCCGGTTGAACCGGATACAAAAAGACAAAAAGTTGATTAAATTCATTCGAACTCCCTCTTCTTCCTCTCCTCCGCCGATCCCTAACCCAGAAACATCCCACCGACGATCTCCCTCTTCCTCCTCTTCTCCCTCTTTATTCTTCACCGCCACTTCGCCAAGTTCGCTCATTCTCCGAAGTACAAACCCATCCTTTCTCTCTGTAGAGAAAAGGACTCGGTTATTTTATACACCGATTTGATGTTCTGTACTGAGGCCGCAAGGTTGAGCTGCCTAAGCGCCACTCCTTTTGGTTGGCTCATGGTGCCGGAGGTGTGGATAAACAGGGCCAATGGAACCGTGTCTTTCCAGTCGGATGAGAGAGTAACCTCTTGATGTCGAGTTGGAAACTTGGAATTTCCTAAACTTTTTTCTCTCCACTTCTTTTTTACTGCATTTCCATTTGGTCTGTCTCATAGCAGACAAGTGAGACCTGTCATAGACGGAATGGAAGTGCAAAATATCTGGACGGAAAAAGAATACTCGAATTCTAAAACAATGGAGAAGGCCAAAATAGTACCATTCACCCTTTTGATTGATTCCTGAGAAGTTCAGGTACAATTATAACACTGTAAAAAAGATATATCCCACTGATTTTTATTTTTTGAGGTCACAGACTTTCAGAGGAGGCCCTGTGACTCGTCAAACCTCCGTTTTGAATAGAAGAAAACAGGGTTTGTGGATCTAGAAGTGTAGGAACCCTCCTCGCGAGTGAGTTACAAACGATCCAAAACTCTTCCCCACCACGCAGTGCCAAGCTGGGCCATACGACGCATCGACTTCCTGCAAAATCGATCAGCCACCACTGTTAACGCTAAGCTAATTAAAGGAAGGCTCTACTTGAGATTTAAGTTCATTTATTCTCTTTCGTCGCCCGAGATCTTAAATCTTGAAAGTTGGTATCTAAGCATGGTTCTCCGGTGATCCCGTGAAACCGTACTAGTTCGATCATAACATATCCGGTGATGGTTAAACAACATGTGGAATTGTGGACAGTCAACTAAAGAGGAATAAAAACATAATTTTCTTTCTCTGCGGCTTCGTCCAAGAATTTAAAATCGTTAATTGGACCACCAGATGGGTTCCTTCTTCAGAGCAAGAGCCATGGGAGTGAGGTTGGGTCTCGGGCTGTTTGAGGCGGCATCCATCAGAGCCCTGGTCAGTCGGAACGCTAGCTCTTGCATGGTTTCCGGCATATCGGCCGATCTCAACCTTACATTCAGTTCCATAGCAATTGCTACCATCTTCGCTCCCATATCCACAGGCGGCGATCTCTCTACAGCAGGTACTATCTTAGGCCGTGATGGATGGACCACACCCTCCTTATTCCTCTGTTTCGCAGTTCCAATTCCATTCCTCGCTGCTACGTCCCCATGAACGAGAGAGAGAGAGATGGTAGCAGAAATATTTGAAGTTTGGACATTTGACTGTCACAACGGAATATTTGAAGTCGGCTCTTTGCATATAAACCACTGATTACAAAATTATGCACCGCAAAACATTACAATATGACCGGTTCAACCAACCGAGCTATTAGTAATGGAGAAAATTTCCGTTAATTCAAGTTAACATGGATGAGATGACGTGTTCATCTCTCATTCGTGGGTGTACTGGACGATTGCACCCATGGGTGCACGGAACGTGGCCTCCTTTTTGTAGGCCACGTACGTACATGTTTGGGAGCTATGCTCCTTGGAGTCCGTGTCTCTTACGCTTCAATCACGTATTCACACGTCTAAGAGTTTGACTAATTAAAACGACCCATGTGGCCGTGTTAAGGCATCAAGTGGAGACGGACTCGGCCTTGAGGGATGGTTTTACCTTCACTCTACCCTGAATGGTTCATTGCTGCATTGATCTGGAAACCTATTGAGTATTGATTGGGCATGAGTGATATTGTCCAACCTAATTACTTCACCAATAATTGCCGAGATCCTTCCATGGTTACATTTTGATCCGGAAACTTCTAATTGATTGGGCATGAGTGATATTATTATGGGTAAAACACAAAAACCTCCCTGAAGTTTTTGACAATCACAAAAACTTTCCCCATAAACATGGTTTTATTTTAGCAAAACTTTTTCTTTATTTTTGAAAGTCAATAAACACCTCCCTTCTGTCAATGATCCAACAGAAAATGTTAAAATAATGATCAATTTTTTTTCCAACCTTCCATTTTCTTTAATTTTCCTTTAATTCCTTTGATTTCTCTCTCCGGGAAATAACACTATTCACCGTTCCCCTCTCCTTGACTGAAACACAAAACGGCAACGTTCAGAAATTATACACTGCATGAACATAAATCCCAAAATCTAGAAATATGCGTCCTACTAAGCAAGATTATGATAGGATGAGATGCAAGGAAGTCCAGAGATCTATATCAACGAAAAACTATATAAAACATAGAAGTTTGAACTTTGGGGTTTAACAAGTGAACAAAAAAGACAGGAGAGAAGACCCAAATTAGAAAAAAAAAAAAAAAAAGAGAGCCACTGCATTAACAGGATATTGAATCCCCTATTGCTCTCTGAACCCCCACCTTTGTTGCTTGCTTTTCTAAAAAATCAAACCTGCATATCCACAAGTCATGCCGTCGAGAGAACTAATTGACTTCCTCTATCTTGCTCTCCTCGTTTCCATCCTCCTTTGTGGCGTAACATGTCATCTACTCTTATCTCCTCATCAATACTTGGACCCAATTTCAGCATCTTGTGAATTCTCGAAGCAAAGGTGTTTGTCTTAGACAGTGTATGCCCTTAGCTCCAATCAGAATGATGTACATTATGACATTTAATGTAAATAAATAAAGTACATATTTGATTCATGTTATGATGGTGTGTTTCTGTGTAATACCCTTAAAAGACACATATGAGATTCGTGTTAGTTTAGAATGTTCACAGCCATTAGATAGATCTGGGGAGATTTACCCTGATAAGGCTGACACTGATGTGCCGCCAAGTTGGTTGGGGTAGCCTGTCTCAGCTGCCAGGGTGAGACCCGAGGTACATGCAGTGTAGGTTTACTTGAAACCTTGAACCGGACCAAAATTCCAGTACCCTAGACCTTGGTGATTAGTGGGCAAAACTGGAATGTTACACTTGACCCCTAGATTCGATTATGATACTGCACTAAGTGTCGGATTGGCTTGTATTTGATATGCCAATCAGTGAGATCCTTAGAGATGGTCAAAACCTGGGTATGTTGGGACAGTCTAAGAATTCATTTGAGTGGGTGATCATAGTGACAGGATCAGCCCCTTTGTCGGACAAAGGTAATGATCGGGGATGCACTCTCTCTGATGGAAACCAATACTGCCGGCAACTGATTTCAATCGTTGAAATTTGTTTTTTGCAATATATATATATATATGGTTTCAAAATATTTTAATTCCCGGAATCAATGTGAGTAGAGAATGCAACACTGCTCCTTGCAGCCGAGGGAGATGTCCTCTATTGTCGGGCAATGTTTGATCATTATGGGCTGAGAGGTTAAGTATAAGACCATTGAGGGTAATACCTGATGGGCTAATCTTGCATCTGCCCACAGTCCTTGGGTTTTTATAAGGTGGCTTGGCCCAGGGACCACTTAGTGTAAGTGTTGGGCCCATTAAGAGCCCATGGTGATGGGCTCAGGGGTTCACTGTCCATAACAGTGTATTCGGCCAGGCCTTGTAATAAAGGATGGGCTGAACCCATGTGGCTGATGTGTAGATCAATGTTTGGGTCTCACGCCATACAAAGAAGCCCAACTGGGCAGCAGTTTGGAGGGTTACTGAGCACATGGACTTATTGGACCTAAAGCCCAGTTCGAACTGGTCTAATTTGTAGTTAAAGAAGGGGCAGATCTGGGATTTGGATCAATAGATAGGATAAGGAGTTATCCCTATTCACTTAGAGAGTCTAGATCCAAATAGAGATTTGGGTCTGGAAACCTTTTAATGAGATTAGGAGAGCTGATCTAATCCGCAGATAAGATAAGGATCTATCCTTATCACTTAAACAGAGTCTGGATTCAAATAAGGATTTGAATCAGGAAACTCCTAATGGGATTAGGAGCTGATATCTTTAAGTCTATAAAAGGAGGAGAGGGCGAACCATTCAGGATATCTCAAAACCCCAGGCATCAGATCTTAGATCACATAGAGAGAAGACAGCAACAGTGTGACTGTGCCATCTTCTCCTTGTGTTCTCCTCTAGTTGCCGCCAATTGCCAGTTCGATCTCCATTCTTGTAGGAACGATCAAGAATAGTTCTTAACATCAGTCTTTGGAAAAAGGCTGATATGAAGTCGTGCTCACAGCCTCCATCGAATTCTTTCCGAAGGGTTCAGTTCTTGGGAAGAACACTGTTGATTCTGCTCCACCCTACACTGTGTCATCTTCAGTGGTATCAGTTTTTTGAGATTTCTTTAGGCGTGAACACATTCATTGGGAGTTACTGCTACTCTGTATCAGATATATCCCTCTCCTACCTTTTGGTTTCAGATCTGATCCTGTTCTTGGTTCAAGATTGATCATTGAAAATGTCGATTTTCTAAAACAGGGAATGTGATTCCTAGATGGGAGAGAGAAATTTTTGAAATTTTGCCCAACCTACCTGCAGGGTTAGGCCATCCATATGATAGATCTCTCATCCCTTCAGTTTGGATCGTTGAGGCTGAATCCTCATGATGCACTGTGTGAAATAGCACTATTCATCATCTCTCCTTGACTGAAAGACACAACGGCGGTGATTGAATTTGATCTCCACCTCCGACCATCCTTTCTCCTCTCTTTCTCATTCTCTCTCTCTCTTCCTTTCCTCCTCATCTCCCATTGTTTGACTTTCTTCTGTCACTACAAACGCCCCCTTGGTTATCGATTTCATCTATTCGAACGACAGTAGTGGCTAAGCTACTGTGACCACTTTCATACCACTACTGCAATTAAGGTCCCCATTTTTCTCAATCACTCTCTTTCTCTCTCTCTCTCTCTTCTTGCCTCAATTCCTTCCATTTGTAACTTGAAGCCATTGCCTCTTTCTACCAATCCATCCTCTGTTTTTCATCCGTTGATTAGGTCTCAATCTCTAGATTCCCTCTTACCTTTTTCTCCCATTATCTTTATATTTCATTTTTTTTCCATCTTCCCCTCTCTAGCATTTTTTTCTTTTATTTTATTCTCATACCTCTCCACCATGCTTCCTCCTATAACAAACAAGAAAATAAAGTATTGTTCCTGCTCATTGCTGAACGAAATTCCTAGTACCATTGTTGGATGTCTAACAGTTCAGATTGTCATCCATGTTAAAACAAAGATTGGCTGTTACTGAGAAATTCTCAGATGTGTTCCCCTCTCCCTAACTGAAACACACTGTGGCCATTGAATTTAATATAAGAATCCCTCACTAACAGCCAGTCCACCATCATATCCATGAGGTCTAATGGTAAAAATGTAATTATACATGTTTTGTCATTGATGGAAGGGATGTTGTCGAATTTTTCAAAAATAGAGGGGAGATTTTTGCTAAAGTGAAACTATAGAGGAGGTTTTTATGATTTTCAGAAACTTCAAGGGAGGTTTTTGTATTTTACCTTATCATTATTGTCCAACCTAATTAATTTGCCAATAGTTGCAGAGGTCCTTCGATCTTTTTTTTTTTTTTCAAGAAAAATACATACAAGTGTAATGTACTTTAGGTAGTGACACTTGGATATCAACTTTCAAAGCATGATAACTAGGGGTGAGCATGTGTTGGGTTGGTTCAGTTTGAAGGCAGAACTTGGAACTTACCTTGTAGGGGATGGTCAATTCCAGATATTTGGATCAGGAATGTATGCTGTCAAGGTCGGTTTCAAGGTCTACATGTGGAACCTATTCTTTCTTTATCCCCTTGAAAATGAATCTGTTTTTTTAAAAAAACTTGCTTTTAATAATTAATAATCCATAGTTAAAAATTTATATTATTTATTGATTAATTTGATTGAATAATTTAATCCATAGATTATCATAATATATTAATATAAATTTCAAAACTTGTCATTATAATTTAAATTTTGTAAAATTTTACCTTTTATGTTATTTATCATACACATTCAAATATTGAATTGAAGAAAAATGATCAAATCAGTTAAGTGACTCAATGGTCAAGTGAAACCATGATTGGCAATCATGTGTGCTTTGGTTCAAATCTTTACACCCTTAAAGTTTTCTGGGATATATTTTAAGGCAAACTTGATTCCAAAGTCAATTCTCCAAGTCAGAAAGGTAGGATAAAACCCTAAGACCTAGGAACAGGTTTGGGTGAGTGTTGGTTCAAGGATGGTTTGAGGTTAGTTCCAAGTATAAACTGCTCATCCGCTCATCCCTAGTGACAACTAAGTATCTTGAATTTTCATAAATCAACACTAATGTCCAGTTGTTAGCATTCTAGCAGTTATCTTGAACATGTGATGTCATGGTGCCTAGTTGATCACTCATTTACTCCAATAAGAATTTGTCAACCCAAAAGGCCAAAATGCATATAGGAAACATGAACTTGCATGCTGTGAAGTAACGTGGTAATGTTATTCCAAATGAGATATGCAAACAGTAAATAAAAGGCTCCGCTAAACTGGATGGATCGAATTGGATGTGTTGCAGTAGATGAGCTGTGTAGGATAAGCTAGTGAGAATCCGACAACCTATAAAAAGTTGAAGTCAGAGGCCCCCGAGGTGGTTACCTAATAGGCCTGTTTACGGGCTGGGTTCGGGCCGGGCTTTGCTTCTACATTAACAGAATATGTTTAGGCCCGAGTCCGAGCCTGGCCCTCATATAAAAGCCTGAAGCCCAAGCCCGAATTCGAGCCCGGTTAGAAATTTGGAAAAAAGATTTTTTTTTCAATTCAATTAAAAACTGTTTTGTTTATACTAAAAGACTTCAAAACCTAAAAAAAATAAAAAGTCATATTATTACTTGAAAAAATAAAAAAAATATATTATATATGTTTTTTATTATATAAAGTATATTTTTATTAATATAATACATTATCAAGTTAGGATCAGGCTCAGGCCAGGTTTTTATGAGAAAATCCAAACCCGTCCAAAAAAAAAAATCGGACCCGATATTTTAGGCCCGAGCCTGAACCTACGGGCCTGAAATCTTGTCCAAGTCCGACTTACATCGGGCCGTCGGGCTACTAAATCGAACTTGTCTTAGCCGAGCAAAACTGAGAGAGAGAGAGTTTAAAATGGTTAGAGTGCTTTACTTCATGTTACATGCAGTTAAATACCCACAGGGGAATGCTGTGGTGCTCGTCACTTTTTGGGATGCATGGAGAGTTCTGAGGGGCCTTCGGCCGAGGTTCTAGTGTGGTTTTGCACTCCTTGTCATGGGGGGCTCTGCGGGAGCCCGTTGTTTGCCACATGCCCCTCTCGGTTTGGGGTTCTCGATGCACATCATAGCTGATGCTTCTATCATAATGAATGATGCTCTATGTCATCAACCTGGCCAAGCTCATGGCCATATTCTCGTCCATATCAGCATCCAGGTGGCGATTCAATCGGACCGGGATACAACCCCATCATGTGGTGTTATCACCAAATCTCGTTGGTAAAATCTTTGCACCACAGAAAGAGAGAAAAACGAAAATACCCCTGTAAAAACTAAAAGTCAACTCAAAGGAGTTTCACAGCATTCAACTTGCAATTCTCAACTGTATGGTGGACTTTTAAGTTTGTCTACTTTGTCCTTCCATAGATTTCTCAAGGAAAAGGTAGGGAATGGCAGGGAAACCTCTACCTTTTCCTTCGAATCAAACATAGACTAATGGATAGGGTTTCAGTTTTTATCAAAATGGAGAACGTAGACGAGAAAAAAGTACAAAAAACACTTTTTTTTTTTGTCATTTTCTTTTTATTGTATTAACTATAAGGCGATCGCCTTACACTGCTTTTGCCATGCAGGCAATTTGATCTGGAATTCATTCAGAATTTTAATTAGCACTAGAAACTAGTAGAATGGCCCAAGTGCAGAATGGCCATGCAAATAAAACCCCCATCACTGATAAATCCACCATTTTCCTTACAACGTTCATATAATGGTGTACCCATCACAAGGAAAAAGTAGGGACCAGGACTACCTCCCAGGAATTCAACGGGTGCATATTCCTTTTTTTTTATAGCAACCAGTGCATGTACTAATAAATTGAAATTACTCTCTTCATCCCAAAAGAAGGAAAATAAAAGGAAAAGCCACAAAACAAGTTCCTAATTTTAACACACTTCAATAATTTATGATGGCAAATGCTAGTCTGCAGGCATCAGAAAAGTAGATGAAATCTGGGTAAATGACAAAGGGTGACATAAATATGGCAAGCGGTAGAGGATAAGGTGACAATGGAGTCTCTAAAATAAATGAGATAACAACGGTTAGCCACTAAAATTGAAACCGGTTCAATAGATAAAGAATTAGTGCGAAGCACTAAGGAGACCGGAATACCAACCAAATATGTTAGACTGCCCGAGGAAATAAAAATACCCAAAAAGAAAACAAGGATATATGATCCAAAAAGTAATAATAATCAGCCTGGCCCCATCTATAGATGGGAGCAAGGCTTAGATGATGATGAGTGATCAGTGAAATTACGTATAAATCAGCAGGCAAGTGGATGTTTGAAGCAATTGGTACAGTAACAAAGGATAACTTTTAGAAGTTGGCACAACTGGACCGCAAGGACATGCTTATATAATAATAATAATAATAATAATAATAATGACTCCTTTGACAAACTCAGCATCTGCCTTCTCCCTTCCTCCTCTCTCTTGCAACCATAAGCTGCGGAAGCTACACATGAAAATCCACTAGATAAACGCCAACTCTTTTCACCAGTGATATGTAATGACCACGGATCAACACAGACTAAAACAGCCAAAAAGCAGAAATATCACAGAGAACAGTTTCGTTTTTTTTCCCTTTTCTCTTGTCCGCTTTTCTGGTTTTTCTCCCAATCCATGGATAGGTTAAAAAAACCAATCGAAGAGATGATGGTTCTTGACATACTGAAGAACCGGATATCCCATCATCGTTCCGAAACCAAAAGGGGAAAATAACAAACAAAGTAAAGAAAATAGGAAGTGAGGGCAGTCTGTTGAAGATGGAAGAAGTTACTACCGGTCTGTCTCCAAAGCTTCCAAGATCCAAAAGCCTTGGATGCTTCATCCACGGGAATTGGAGTCTTCAGCCAATGTCTCCCCCAATCACCAATTACTCAGATTCGATCGATGGGTTCAGTCCGGTCCTGCACTGCCAGCCGCTCGGACACATCTGCCAATGACTTGAGATTGCACTTGATCAGGGCCTCGACAAAATAGCATGTCTCATCCTTGGTGTTCCCATCAGGCACATCTACCACAAAGGATTCAATCACTAAGGTTCCTGGCCTACCCTCAATAACTTCTGGATGGAGGGTAATGATTGATGAGTAGTTCTGCAAAATGAAGAAAAACTTATAAAATAATATATTGTATTAACTAATTTTGGCTGCCTACAAGATAAGAGCTGCAAAGATTATTGCAATCAAGCAGGAACAGAATCTGAATTTTCCTGTCATATAATCAAAGAACATTTCTGCATATCTTAAATCAACCTTAGCTAGACGTGCCTGTGAACCTGTAAGCAGTGATATTACAGGCTTCACTCCCATCCTCAACAAAGATGTACACAGACAAACATACAACAAAAACATGAAAGACATTCAGTAGAAGTGCTATTCTATGAATGAAGTTGACACCCAATAGATTTCTGCAGGGACAAATAGCACATTAGCAGATAATGCTGATTATACATGTTAATAGACTGCGAAGGGGGAAATTGAACCAGAAACCAATAGGATTTGGATAATAGTGATATCAGAATTAAACCTGAAATAGTTCAACAAACTTCTCAAATAAAGGTGGATTTAAAAATGTCAAATGGTATTCTGTGAGCTTCCAACTCAAATGTTTCATGAAATTTTCAACATTCTCATCCATCCCCAAGAAAGCTAAAACGAACCATGACAGTTTTTTAGCATGAGTCTGATAAAATTCAATTAGTTTTCAGTTATACCTTTGAGCTTGCTAACAGGATGGAATTTCTATGACAGTTGCAAAACAGTGTTAAATCTTGATGAGCATTGAAGTGAAAGATGACAATCCCTACTAGTACTAACGGCTAGGAGAAACATACAAAAATCCAAAGAAGTTCTGGACATCAAATCTATCTGATTTTAACTTATTTTGACCAATCTGAGGACCTAAACATATTAGTTGCAGTTCATGGTTATATGCAGCAGGCACATTATATTATCAAGTCCAGACAAGTCAAAATAAACTTAAATAATGGGGCAAGAACCCAAATACTCATGGGTAAACAACACCATATGCATAGACGTGCCAAAGAAAAACTGCAGCATAGACTTATTAGTGATCCCGACCAACAATACACAAATAAATTTATGTCATCCGCATATATCCTATGAACGACTATGTGATATCTAGTCTATCAACAAAGTCTTATAAAAATCCATGAATTTGTTCAAGCAAAGTATAAGGCAAAGTACAAATTAAGAAAAAAGGAAGAGGAAGAAGATAAAAGGGCAGACCCTTAGCCTGTGATCCCCACCAACAATCCTAATGCTGAGTATATGTTCTTCATCATCGAGAAGTTCCAACCTTTCAGTGCTGGTTGTGGCCGGAAGCCCTGATTTAACATTCACTTCTCTGACACTCCCAATCTCAAGGTCTCCCTGCACAACGCACCTACTGATAAAGGGCTTATACTTCTGAGGTTGATCGAATCTCCTCACCAAGGACCAGACCTGACGAAATAGGTATGGAAATGATTTAGAAACAATCCAATGGAAAACAAATAGAAAATATATATATCGACGTTCCACTGAATTAATATCAGCAATGAAAGGACTTGAACTAATCCAACTCAATTCCTACATAAATTATTCAGAGGTCAAATCATGCACTTGACAGATACCAGATTATCTCAATTCTATCCAATAAAATCTTTCCGAAAGATTTTAATAGCGAAGATATTAAAGCATATTTACTAATATGTATTAATTCGCTGTTTGCGAAAATTTGTTCCGAAGCCAGAAAAAAGTCTCCCGCTAAACAGAAAAAAAAATCACTGTGAAATAATAAACTTCCAGAGATCTATCCAAAAACTATAATATTTATCAATATCCAAGTAAACTATCCCTTCCACTGAGCTTCCATTAAGAATAAAAATTTAGACAATACCGAACCCTGTAGTTGACTGCAACTAGCTCTATGGCCACGAAAGATAACAGGACAACTAAAATACAGCCCGAGAAAAAAAGTTGGATTCAGCGGAGAAGTCATTAGAGGTGAGACAAAAGCATTTCAGATCAAGCTGAGCCATTCAGATCCGCACAAGGTAAGAGAAACATGAGAGAAAGACTAAAATAAAACCGGTGAAAATTGGTCCAGAAAAGGCAGGATCTGGACATCGACCTTCCTGAATCCTCGGAGACACTGTCTAAACATCAGATAACACTGAAAAGTGAAAATAATCCGCAAATATAGGAGGGATGCGGAGACATGGATTGATCATGAGATCTTACGAGATGAACAGGAGCCTTGATGTGTTTAACGAGGGCGGAGCTGCACTGATTGTCTTTCGTCTCGTGCCGGTGGTGCCTCCATATATACTCTGCCTCCATCCTGCTGTATCCATTACCGTTCATGGCGAAAACCTTTTCTCTGCAACCATCAACTCGGAACACGTGATAACTTGCCCTCTCCAAAGTCCAAAGTGCTCCGATTTCAGAAAACAGCCTAAAATGAACGAACTCCCCTGAAAACCGCTCTCCTTTTCTGATTTCTTTCTGAATAGAAAGAAAAAGAAAAAAAAAACAGTGACAATTTCTCAGAGTTTCGATTTCGCTTCCCCTCCCCCCTCTCTCTTTCTCTCACAGTCTCAGTCTCTCAGAAACCACCAAACCCCACCGCTATTGCGAGTTTAAGACCTCCAATACCAAAACCTCTTTCTTCATCTCATCGCCAGAAATATTTTAATTTTTATTAATTTATTAACCGCTTTTTTCAGCCTCTTATTCCCGTTCCAGCAGCGGATTATCCCGGGTGACCGCCGAGAAAACCCTTCTTTTTTGCGGTAATTTACTTGTGCACCAACGTTAAATTTAATGAGCGATCGAAAATGACCAAAACGGCCTCCAGTCAAAGTCATATCTGGTTCTTTGTCTTTTTCTGGATTGCTTCAAAGTTAAAAAAGACGGTAAAAAAAGCAAGAGGATCTGTCTAACTGTAAAGCGTATTGGTATTTCCTCCGCCCATTTAAAACAAGAAAAGTAATCGGCGTCGTCTAGTCTATAATACCCTTTTCAGGCGTCATTTGGAACATTTTTGACGCCACCCCATGTATTTCGTTTTTCACTATATCCCTTCCTTTTCACTCCGGATCATCTGCCAATAAAAAACGTTCCATCACCCTCCCCCGAAGATCTTAAACCACACATCTTATATATGGCGGATCCCATTTTAACGGTGGTTGCAATCGTGGCGAGATATGCCGTGTTGGGAGGATGTTGGAAGGTTTTATTGGTAGATAGTTTTTTCTTAATATGGTCCGATTCCACGTATCATCGACACCGGATCTCCTGTCTACGATAACTCTGTTCATATCTACCCATAATACATTACCCCCTCTGAATTGGGAATATCTCCTCCTATATAATGTTGCATGTCCATTCATTCAACTTTGATACTAGGTTTCCACTACAAATGATTAGAAATAATAGTTTAGATATGTTTTCACAAAACACTCCCAACACTGTCCCTAAGTTATTTATGGTCGCACATAGGGAACATCTCCCATGAACGGTAACGGAGATGTATACAACATACGGCTCTAGTGGTCTGTTGGGGAGCACTTTGCTGGTAGTGGATCCCCACCTGAGAGAACCTAACAAATGAACCATATTGGATCCTGCTCACAAAATACTTTTTCAATACGTTCCAACATGACATTTGTTTGCACATTTTACCCTGGTATGTCCAAATCTCATAAGGACACTAATTATGTTGGAATATGTTAGAAAAGTATTTTGTTATGAACATATATGGGCCCTAAAATGATATTTATTTATTTATTATTTATTAGAAAGGAAAATGTAGAGGTGAATAGGGATGGAAATTTTTCTCGTTTGGATGAGTACCAATTTCCTTGACCCAGTGAGGTTAGAGATGGAAATTGCTTTGGTGGGATACAGATAGAAATTAATAGAGATCCCTGATTAGGGTTGGGGTCGGATATGGGGAATGAGGTCCCCGCCCCACCTTGATCCCGATTATATATATTAAATATATATTATTATATATGATATTAGTTATATATATATATATCAAACTATATTTAAAATATTATTTGTATTTTAAATTATTTATTTATTTTTCAAAAAATACTAAGTTAAAAAATTTTGAGGATACGAGTCCTCGTGAGAAATCCTTCCCGTTAGGGATCGGGGATGAAGGACTTTTATCCTCAACAGGAACCGGAGTAAAAAACGGCGATTTATTTCAAAATTTGGGTCAAAAATTGGGAATGTGATTCCTCATCCCGAACCCACCCTGCAGAGGTGAAAACTAAAAACTAATTATTTTGTCAATTCAACCTGGATGGTTAATCCGGTATTTCGCTACAAATCTAGCAATTGGGTTGAGACGAGTTCTGGTCAATTCAGGTTTAACTATCAAATTCAAATGTTTTAAACAATTTAACCATCCAAACCAAATGCGGGTTTGAAAATGTTGAGACGTAACCTGACAGTGACCCGAGAGGGTCCTAGATAAGGGACCTTAGTCCGCATTTTTTTGGATTGAATCAGATCAGGTTCGAGGCAAGGATCGGGTTTTTACCCAAATCTATTAACAAGTAACGCTCCATTTGAAAGGGAGAATAAATACAAAAGAGTGCAAAAACTTGTATTTTGCATTATTTTGTATGAATATATATTGTATATATATTTGTATTTGCCCATTTCTATATCTTTTTTTTTCATTATCGCCTTTTGCCCCATAGTAGCCTTAATTTAATTTTCATCAAACTTTATCTAAGCAACATTACACTCTTCTCAAAGGTGGATTTAGAGCCATTAGTACCGGGGCTTTAAATCGCATTGCGTCTGAGCCTAATCCAGTTACGTGCCAACTCGGTTGGTAGGAGTTATATCCTTTTGAGTTTTGAGTTCGCATTCAATGCATTGTGGATTCACTGGACATGTGAACCCACCAATAAGAAGCTACCATAATGTTAATGGGCCTTACACAGCTGTTTCAACCGTCCACAAAAAGACAAATAAAATCAAAATCCCCGGTCCGCATTCCTCCCCTCATTTTCCCTCCCATTTTGTAGAGTTTCTTTGCTTTTACTCCACCGAACCCTACCCACACACCGGCAATCATACAGCAGCGGACAGTGACCCAAACTAGCGGCCATCGGCAGCCAGAGCTACGTCGTTACGTTTTCTGGCTTCCTCTTCCAAAGGCTTCTGTTTTCTATTTTCAATAGATCGAACCCTTACACAAGCGGAATTCTTCAGGTGAACGAAGGTGGGCCAACACCGGCAGGCTTCCTATTGTGGTCGGTTGCAGCGGTGGACCTGAACTCAGCGCAACACATTCCATCTCTCTATCTCTTCTTCCCCTCCTTGTTCGTTGTTAGCTCTGCGACGGTGAGAGCAATCAAGGCGGCCATCAGAGTTCCTGTCACCTGATCAAGATAAACACAGTTGTAGGTTCACCTTGCTGTATTAATTGCTTAATTGCACTTCATCCCAGTCGTTGCAACTTGAAGAAAAACAATTTGAAACCTCCCCGGTTCCAACAACCATGTCCAAGTCAACATCTATCCAGTAATAAGAGGTTGTCGAACTAGCTCCTGTAAAGTCCTCAAAACTCAACTCGGTCCTGATGATTTGATCCCCTGGATTTGATCGGGAATAATATGCATACCTAAAAAAATAATCTCTTGCCAATTAGTGATAAACCTTGATTTTTCCTCTGATCTTTGATATCCCAGTTTATGTCTTCATCCTCTCGTATTGTCAAAAGCCTCTCTAAAAGCCTTTTTCATGAAAGCAAAAAAACTGGTCCGAATCGTCTCATTGATTCTTAAAACAATGCGCAGATGGGCAACATGGAAGTTTATTATTCCCTTATCGGTGGGATGTAGGATGTGAGATGTTTTTGGCGGGATATTTGGTTCAGTGGACGTTTATTTAATAAATACTGTGACAGGCATCACTTATCAGTTCCTCTCTCTGTTTTGGAAAAATTATTTTTTAAAGTTTTTACAAACGACCAAGTGTTTATTGTTATGCTGATGTAAAATCTACTGACACTTAATTGTCATAAACGGTTATTTTTTTTGGTTTTATAAACAAATAAAATACAAATATTGGATGAAAAATATAAACTGAACTAAACACATACTAGGTTAGGACTCGGTGGAAGAGAGGAGGAAGAGGAAGTTTAAAGAAGATTGGAAGAAGAGGAAGGAGAGGAGGAAGAGTAATGAGAAGAAGAAGAAAAAGCCACTGCCGGTGGTTTTCGAGTCCACAAATGCGAGTGTAAAATGAAATCGCCGATGGGATGTGGAATGTTTGTAGGTTAAGACTCAGCGGAGGAGAGAAGGAAGAGGGAGTTGGAATGGATTTAATGTATATTTTATTATTTTGTATCTGATTCAACTGATTCATGCTAACGATAGAAAACCCGTTACCTGAAACCAAAATTCAAAATGATATTATTGATGGATTCACGCGTCCAATGCATCCATGGGTGCATAGAACGCGGACTTTTGAGTTTTAACTTAAGCGTCAATGTCGTTGTGGGTTACAAACTTACAATACGGTCCCTTCACTGAGCAGTAGGATCCGACGCCGTAGATTCCCGCAATCCCATGATTTTGGTAAACGTATGGGATAAAGTCATAAATATAACGTGCAAGTACATTTAATGTGGTAGGTCTCACACCATCAACTTGGATGGTCCCTGATAGGTATTACTAACGATGTGGATCCCACAATCAAGAAAGACTAGGCGATCCAACCACAGAAAAATGGCGATCGCAATCTTTAGTTGCATGCATTAAATTCCCTTATTCCATGGCCATTGATTGTTGCTATCCCCGTTGTTGGAATCGTACACAACCATTTAACTTTCAGTGTTCTGCGACGCACCAAATCGAGTGGACTGGAGTCTGGAGTCTGGACGGGAGATACTGTCGCCTTCTGCAGGAAAAGCGACTAATAACCGACAAAACACCCCCTCCCCACGCCACGCCACGCCACGCCACGCCACGCGCGGTGTTAGTCACGGCCGCCAGGGTACTTTCGTAAATTTAAAAATTTCTATAAAAATTCGTAACTTCCAAAGATAAAGAGAAAATTTAACGATTTGTTATAATATTATAATAATAAAATATTGTTTAGAGGTGTACTACGTCGTGATGTTTATGCAAAACCATATTTTTTTTCCCGGACCACCACGACCATTTGCCTCTTCGTTACACGGGAAAGCCAACTTGGCCAGGAACTAAAGATTAAAGATATACGTGTTAGTGGAGTATCTCCACGCGTCAAGCTGTAGAGGATTGGCCTTTTTTATGAGGGTGCATATTTTAATATTTTACGCTTGCCCAATCCTGACAGTTGGTTAAATCAGACGAACAGAGCTTTACCTGGGTGGGTAAGGTGGCTGGTGGGCTGCCCCAGCACGTGATGGAAGGGGGACAAGAAGGGTTTTAGAATACGCTAAGAATAGTATTGTCACCAAAGCATGCTGTTCCAACAATGACCAAATTCAGCTTGCACCACCTTTTAATGGGTCCCAGCATGCATAAAGATTAACTCGGCCCAAGCCCAAATCAAGGAATATCTCGAAACGGTA